AGAGTATTAACGTTAACAGTTAATGTTTAACAACATATTACTCTTTGTGTATGGTACATGAACATAAGTGTACATGCCAATGTACGTACATTTTAACTACCAGTGGTGTACGAGTATGGAAAATTCCTTCCTCTCAAACCATAGGACTTGTTTTCCTAGGCCACAATGATTGACTTTATTGAATGACATCAATTTTTGATGGCTGGGTATCAACCACTTCCTGCTGGGGTGCCCAGTTTCGGATGTGTTTATACACATGGCCGGGGTCTCCGAAATCAGACAAAGCGAACTGGGCCCTGTAAGTGTAACAATTGACCATTCTCGGAACAAAAGACCAGACTGCTGGGCATTACCACCATTTTTTCACTCTCACTAGTGGAAAAAATCCAGCCTTGTTTTGAAACAGTATACCACGGTTTGGGGCATTTAGTGCGAGCGGATTACCACCGTGGACAAAAGCGCTCCACCACCGCAGCGATGAGCCACACAGCACCACTGCACGCTAATCTGGCCCCCATTGAAAAGACATCAGCAGCGCACTATGCCAGGTTCGTGAACAAAAGAAACTTACATAACACCACACAATCTGGGCACTTTTTACCAGGCTGCAGGCCTGGCTGAAATACCTGGGCATCAATGGATTTTGTCTGTCAGACTAGAGTGGCCACCAGACAGTAATTCATGTGGGTGTAAACATCCATTAATTGAAATGATGAATTTTGAAAGAATTTTGAAAACTGAAAATCTTGAAAATGTCCCAATTGTGTAAACTGCATTTTTCAAACAACCCGGCAGCAGGTGGTTAATAGTCCCCTTTTCGACAGGGGAATAAATGTGTGCTTGGCCGGTCTTAAAGATGCGTTTGAGACCGGCTCAGGAGAATGGATGCAACTAATGCCTGAGCCCCAGGCAAATGCATTATCAGTGTTCGTTATCTTGAGCAAGGTCTAAAACATTAGTTTAAGACTGGCCGAGCAAATATTTATTCCCATTCATGAATACTTTTTTATTCAGAGAGTCAAAAGAAGTCAACATATGATGGATTTCCTAAAATTTTGTTCTAAAACTTTACTTTCATTTTCCCAAACACCCCCATCCATTTTATGGCATATTCCGTTTGCAAGTTTTCCAACAGAAACCCCTTCGATGAACTTGGAGCACACGTGCGGGTCTTGTGCACACGAACTCCTGACCAATCAGACCCGATCAAACTGTCTCGTATCCATGTGCCAGCATGTGATTTATGCAGCGGGCATTATCACTTCTCAGCGGGCATTATCAAATGTTAATACATGGTCATGTGATGTGTTTCCAACAACAGGAATAGAAAAACTGTCCCAGGTATTCATGAAGTGTGGTTTCAATTAATCTAACACTGGATTTTTGGGCAGGATTTGTATGTAAATCAGCAACAATAAAGATTCACAATGTAAGTGATATGTCTTAAGATCATCAAAGATCATCACTATACATGTATACATGAACGTCTTATCCATTCCAACCACTTACCTATGTAAGTAGGCCTATCTTTGTCTTTCATGCACATTTTGTGGAAAGTTTTGTGTTTGGAATACCTCGAAATTTGGGGGTTTACGAAATTTTGCCTAATTTCCCTGCACACCTTGAAATATGTAGAAACCTTTATTTCATAGGATGGATTAAAATTAATCAAACAGAAAAATGTTACAGAATAATCAATCATTGATTTAGTAACTAAAAATACATGTACGTGCTTACACAAGCATCCATTTTTCAATGCAGTGTGCCCTTAGATGCATATTTCAGTGGCTGTGAAAATGGTACACACAATTGGGGAACTTTGGTGGAATTATATATAAGTGCAATGAAACAAATTTGTCAAGTAGAATCTACACTGTGATTGAACAACACACGCGGATGAAACACCAGTGGCTCTTGCAAAATTTCAGAAAAATGTGTCAATGGGCTCTTGAGATCTAACAGGGTGATCTACCGGTATCCCCAGCTGTCAAAGGTCACAAAAAAACAAGAAATAACTAATCATTTTAACATGCTCTTTTATGGTTGGATGAAATTCATCTGACAAAAGAAATATATGTATTAGCCTATTTGAGAATAGTTACATGTACCACACCAGGTAATTTGTCAGATTATTTTGGGTTTTGTAATGGTACGGGTTAGCTGAGGCATACATGTGTAGTGTACTGTACCAGTACATGATTTATTAGCTGGAAGTTTCTGGACCAGTTCATCCAGAAATCGATGATCCATTCATGACACATACTGTACATCATTGCCCGAGGCAGCATCGTGAACATTACTTTCTTTTTGAGCTGTTCAAGAAAAACCAGAGAAAGCATTTGTATTTCAACACACAGTGAAAACACTCTGAATCAGGATTTTTCGATGATAATTCTCAAAATTATTCTTCACTTCCAGCAGATACCTCAACCTCAAAATTCCTCTGAAAGTGTTCTTCAGAAATGGGGTGAAGCTTTTTTATGTGTGCAACTGAGTAATTCCACAGTGTCTCGACTACATCTCTAGTTCGAAGGTCAATGCAATGCAATGTATGTGTACCATGGACGCATTAACGCTCTGTAGGGTATTTCATTGCATCAGTGTGGAATGCCATGAATCCTGTACATAGAGTGGGAACAAATGAAACTAAGGTTATTTTTCCACAGCCTACATGTATGTGAGAGGAGTTTAAACAACACTTCTTGTGTCTTTGTTTAAAATGTTATTCAAATTTTATTTGTTTGACAAGTCAGCCCAGTTGAAGTTTTAGTCCAATTTAGGCAAAAATGATACAAGACGTCTGGTTTTTCCAATAAACTGTTCTGCAGGCTGAGGTGGAATTTAGAATTACTTCCAACATCCAGATAGGCTCAAGATGTCAGAAAACAGTCCTTTCTTTCAAAGCAACAACGAGATTAAATTATTAAATTATGAACAAGAAAGTACATGTGCAGGTGTACTCAGCACTGTTCTTTTCCAAATTACATGCAACAGATGGGTACTACTTCTAATCACTGTACATGAACAGTACCTTATGGATAAATGACGTGATCTTACTTTACATGTACAGTCGCAGGCTCTGTTAACCCAAATGATCCACACTGACATTTTGGGCTGATTTTGAAGGACACAGGACATCTGCATATAACAATATGCATTGATTTTGGAGGGCCGAGGCCAGCTCCTACGTGTAATTCAGTCACTTTACTTCATGAGGAATGAGGTTGGATGACTCTCAGAATATACAATCTAAACATGTACGGGTACATGTACAGTGTACATACGTACATTACTTACTGTACCACATGTAGGGAGAGTTTCTATTAAGTTGGGATCCAAATTTTTTCCTGTTCCTATAACTTACATCTGGCACATAATATCTAAGTTTTGAATAAATCCTTTCATTTCCAAAAGTGAAAAGTAATGCAAATTACCTGAAAAACATACAAAAATAATTTGCAGTCCATTTCAATGACACCGAACATGTACATGTACATCTAATTGTCAAATTACACTGATCAGATGTAACAGGGAGAGAGAAATATTACACTACAGATCAAACATTTACAGAATGACCTAGGGGGAGTGGTGGAGGCTGAGAATTCTAGATTATACATGTAAGTGGGAATTGGATGACACTGTAACCAACCTCATTCCTAATTGTATGTCACAAACAAGAAGGGGATTTACCAACAAAATGAAAGTGGAATTAACTGTATTCAATTACTTATGCTGTTTTCTTCCAAACCTTTCTTGGGTTGAAGAATTACTTATAAAACAGATGATAATGAGGTCCCTCATAGTCTGATAAAATGTCTGCAGTTACACGGCATTGCTCTTTTCATGCTTGCTGGTAAAAGCGGCTGTTAATACATTGTCAGTGAATAAGATAAGATAAAGGAATAAATACAGAGCTGGCTCTTTTGTGAAATACATTGCACATTACTCCAAAGGTTTTGCGACTGTCAATAACAAAGTGGGCACATAAAAACATCACAAAATTAGTAAAAGGAAATCAAATGGGGGAGGGAGGTCATAAAAACTGCAAAATCTACACATACAGTATACATGCTGCAATAAATCAGTAATTCCAAGTCACCCCACCAAGACAGTTACCCGCAATCTTGACACTTGGGGAAATTGATTGTACTCAGGCCAGAGTTCATAATCTTGTGAATGCACTTAATTCAAAGGAAAAATCAACTCTGGATGGAGTAGCCTACACTAAATTTGCACAAGATTGCACTGAACAGGCCTGATGAATTGAACCATCCAGCCTGGCTGTGATGACAATTTTAAAGACTTTCTCAGAATCTCAGCAAGCTGACTAGACGTCAGCGCAAAGCATCATCAATCAGTGAATGAGTCTTCTATTGTTAGCAATTGCTTCTGTACTGTAGATCTCTGTCATGTCAGTCATAACAAAGCCTGGTTCACCGGTACAGCTACACCTTGGCCTACTGCCAGACAGCCCCTGGTTAACTTGTCAGGCACCAGTAACCTAATGCAAGGCTTACCCACATCAGTCAAAATCATCATCAGTCACATTTTTAAGTTTGATCAAACTTACAATCCGAACTTGATAAAGACTGACATGACAGAGATGTGACTGGGTTTCTGGAAACCAAACATGCCAAAAAGGCACTTCCATGACATGTGCAGCAGTGTGCAGGGTGCCTTTCATGTCTTTTGTGGTTTCCAAATGTAGGCCCTTTGACTGTGTCTGTTGCATGGGAAGGGAATAATTCCACTTTAAAAATTATTCCTTCCTACTGAGGAGTTCGACGGACTCAAACAAACCCCAATTAATGATTAATGTCATGTTTTTGAATGGCACGCAAGGACTGCAAGTTGCAACGTACGATCGGGCTTCCACTTTTCTGGCCTACCACACAATACGGAAGTTACTAAACGTGCGTTATTCCATGCGAACCAATGCAAAGCAAACTTAAAATCGTCATATGAGCATCAGATCAACACAAACACACATAGATACTCACAGGGATGAAGTAAATGTATACTCCCCTCTCCACTGCGTTTCTGGTCACAAAAATAATCCTTAAATTCCTCAGGTTTTTAACTCCATCAACTCCTCCCTTGCTCAGAATCAGAGGCAAGATGGCGGAAACAACGCATGCGTACATGTTGGACTGGTTCCGGATAATTGTCGCACAAAAAGTATTATGAGAGGCGGTGTCGCAGGCGTTTGGTATCGTAAAAGAGCAGATATGAGGGCGCTATTCATAAAGCTAATAAATCTGTGAATTTGCTGTTTTGATGGAGCGTGTACTACCGACAGTTTGCATTTTCGTAGATTATCATGTGGCATATTAGATGTGATCAAAGTCCACTTTTTTCTGTGTTGAATCTTTTCTTACCAAATCTTTACGTCCCACAAAGCTCTATACAATGAGCCCTCCCTAGTGAAACTGCGTTTCTCTGGGTGACTTAACACAGCTTGTAAAATATTTGACCATCCTATAGTCTAAGCCTACCGAAACTTTCCCTTTTTAATTAAAAACTATAATCTTCACATGTTCTCAAAATATGATGATTTCCAAGTTTATGTCTAGAGCCTTGCCGTAGGGAAAACGTGATCAACAATATTTGAAGAAATGGAGCATTAGAACTTCAGTTTTCCCTGAATACCGATCACACAAATAAAGCTTTGTATAATTCGTATAAAACATTAATCCGTTTGGGTTAAATGGGCTGCCATCTCTTTCCGGCCGGATTGAGGGCCTCAGGATGACTTCGTTCATCGGTGGTCTGGCAAACGGGCGTGAAGAGGAAGCAAATGCTGTTTGATTAACTGAGCCCTGACACAAAGTAGGGGCCCACTGATGAAATCGATATCACGTTCCGACTTTCTTTTTCAGCCTTTTTGCCAACTATTTAACTGTTTTCATTTTGATAACTAGTAGTCAGCACACGAAACAAGACCATTGCAAACATTCCAGGCGGGGTTCTGGTCACAGTCCTGCTGTTGTTGATAGACTGGGAATATACTCTCTTTGTTATACCGAAATAATAATTGTAGACTCATTCCTAGTGTCAGGAGACTTTCTTTATCCTCACATTGAAGCAATCGATCTGTTGTGTTCTGGTCATAGTGACAAAACTAGCTCTCAGTTGCCCTGCCCTGCCATACTGACATGTTGACAAAATTCCATTTAGCAGTACATGTGCGTGCAGGTCGGTGTCCACTGTCTAGTTAAAGCACGCATGTGGTGGTGAAAGTGATAAGATTTTGCATTAGTTAGGTAAGGAGATCATTGGTTCCACCCCAATAAAGGAAGCGTGGCATTGGTTTTTCAACAAGCTCTTAGGAAGCACGGAAAATGTGTCTCTTTGGCAGGTGAATTCTTGTCGTTGTAGACCATCACTCGGGCAAAACGCTGGAGTTTCTTCTTGTGAGCAGGACAAGCTCTTGGTGCGAGTCCTATTTTCAGAGCTGTACGCGTAAGCTTCAGATGCAGAGGTACTGTGGCATTGCTTTTCTAAAGAAATAGATTGAAACAAAGGAAAATAAAATAAAATCAAAACACAAAACAAATACACGAACCAAATAAAAAGTAGGAACGAAAGCAGCGAAAGTTCAGCGTGGTATGTAGTGAATTTGCTTTCTTCTCGCGTGATTAAAAACACTCGGTAAAGATATTCCTTTTTTCCTGGACTGCGAACGTTGTTTTAAAGATATTTCTGCTGGTTAGTTAAAAAAATTCCTTTTCCATTTTCTATTTGCTACCGATAGCCCCGATTCCCAAATGCTTCTAAACTTTTTCACAGAGCAAACCTTGCGTAACACTTTTTTCACATGTCCACACGGAGTTCGGTATGTAGAGTCACCGAAGTGAATATGTCACGCGCAGAATACGGGCGATTCAAAAGAGTGCACCTCCAAGAGTTTGCAACGCGTTGACCAATCACAGTGCGCGAAATTTGTCGACCCTTCCCAAACGCGCATTGGTCAACGCGTTGCAAACTCTTGGAGGCACACTATTGTGAGTGTAAAGGTACTACCCTGAAAACCAGCAAAAGCCGCTTCCCACAGGACTGTTGGCAAGCAGCTTCTGAGCAGCAGCAATAGCAGTCACTTTCGTACACAAGTCACAGGGTATTCAACAAATATAATTAATTCCCTCAGCTACTGGCCCCTGCCTTCATTATTATTAACTCAGTACTCAAAGCCACACAAAAGAACTTGGAAAAGTCTACATGAATTCCCGATGAAATTTTAGTGTGTATACGGTAAATAAGGAAGTGTACGTGGACCAGTGAAGTGCCATCAATAAGCACGTAAAAATAAGTACAGTAAATCAGTTTTTAAAGTCAACATTTGATTTGCACATTTGAAATCTCCTCTGCCTTTGATTATGATGTGTTTACAGATCTTAAAGGAGGTCATTCCAGTTATAAAATCTGAACAATCTGAAAGCAAACATCAAAAGACTCTCATTTATGATGCTAAAGAACTTTTAATAAAATCCATTTTCCCTAAGTGTGGATTATATAACATTCAATTTCTTTTCATACACATAAATTTGGGCTGATGTAATCAGGGAGAAAAACATGACAAAATCAAATTGCACTATACTTCGTAAGTACGACAAGTAAATTAAACCAACAGGACCAAGATTCATTTTTCTCCACATATCTGTAACTCCATTTTACTGCCATTCATGTCTACTTTTTCACTGTTGCTTTTTTTAACAATACTTGGACTACTTGACGATTAGTTCAAAAGTTTTTAACTATCAAGGGCTCAAAAAAGAACTGACAAGGCACTTAAAAACATTACCTGTAGGATCTTAATCAAGTTGAACATTTTATAACAATAAAAGAACAGGAAAAAGCTTCATTTTTATTAACAAAACTGGAGAAAGCAAAATTGGAAATAAGAACATCATCAACTTTCTTCAAGAGTAACAGGTAAAATGGAGGGGAAAGTAATGAAGAGACACACACAATGACCAAGCAGCAAAATTCTATACTTGTCAATTCATTAGTTCGCGTTAAGAGCAATCTCACAAAGAGTCATGGGATGATGTGTTAGTTTATACCTTAGCTTCCTTGGAACATTCTCACTGTGTAGCTGTAAATTTGTTGACCACAGAAAACAAACCTTTGGACGACCAGGCTAAATTTCAAATGATGCACTGTCAATGGAGTTTTGGGATTCTTGCCAACCCAATATTGTTGAGTACCCTGTTCGAAATGTCGAGTTATTCCCCGGTTCTTCTCAGAACCACACAGACTCAAGAAAGAGATTGATACATGGTGCAACCGAAATCATTTTACTTATCCAATATTGTTTCCACAAAATGACTTCCTGTCAACTGCTTCACAGGATTACTTCCAAGTTGGAACTAACTAAAAATGTTTACTTTTACAGTAGAGGATTTAAAGAAAATAATCATGCCTTTTTGCAGCAATTTCCACCTTTTCAGTCTAAAAACTGATCAAGTATGTAAAAATAAATAATGAAAACGTAATAAAGAGTCTATGATTGACAGAAAGCCTTCAGTATAGTTATAAACTATTGAGTTTCAATAAAACTTTAGTTGCAGTTGGCAATAAATGTGTAAGTGAAGTTTGCATGTACATTTCCATATGATGCAAGATATGGGACGG